AATAATTATAATTTATTAATTGTTGCTGTTATTATGTGCCATCAAGTAACTTGCGACTCATAGTGACCCTGTGTACAACAACCCAAAACACTGCTCTATCTCTTGCCAACCTTATTATGTCTGACACACCTATCCCCATTACCCATCTCATTGAGGGTCTTCCTCACCTGGTCTGTCCCTCCACCCTCCCAAGCATAATATCCCTCTCCAAGGACTGAACCCCCCCTTGCAACATGTCCAAATATGACAGAGCTTCAGAATCATTGCCTCCAAGGAGCAGCCTGGCTTCACCCTCTCCAGGACAAACTCGTTTGTTCTCCTAGCAGTCCGTGGTACATTCAATACTCTTCTCCAGCACCAAAGTTCAAATGCATGAATTCTCCTTCTATCATCCCTAGTCATTGTCTAGCTTTCTGAAGCATAGAAAGTAATGGCAAAGACCATGGCCTATATCAGGCACACCTTAGTCTCCAGACTGACATCATTGCTCTTCAGTACCTTGGAGAGGTCTCTGACAGCTGACTTCTCAATGCAATTCATCTTTTAATTTCCTGGTTCCTGGTACCAAGAGTGTTTTTATATATATTTATAATAAATATATTTCTCTGTGTATGCCCTTTGGGTTAGGTGCATCCTTGTTCTATATTATGTGTATTAAACAGATTTAGTGGCTAAACCCTACTCTTATGACAGAATCATACAATAAATAGATAACTTCCTAATAAATTCCAATTAGTCAATCCAGAATAACCATATACACCCTTCTAGAAATGTTTTATTGTTAAGAATATTGTGTTTTCTTTATTGAGTAGTACATGTTGTTAGGTGCTGTTGAGTACAATTCATAGCTACCTGTGAAAAACACATATGATCCCTTCCCTATGCTGTATCATTCGCATTGTTTCTGACACACCTGAACCCATTGCTATAATCACTGTGCCATTCCATCTGATTGAGGGTCTTCCTCTCTTTTACTTATCCTCCACCTTTCCAAGCAATATAGCCTTTTCAAAAATAGCCTCTACTAGCAACATGTTCAAATTCTGTGAGATGAAGCTTAATCTTCATTGCCTACAAGAAGCATTCTGGCTGCACTTCTCTCCAGTACTTATTTGTTTGTTCTTCTTCCAGTCCATGAGATATTGACTACTTTTAACCAATGCCACAGCTCAAAGGCATCAATTCTTCTTATGTTATCCTGATTCATTGTCAAGTTTTCATATGCACAGCAACTATTGAAAATACTGTCTCCTGAGTCAGGTGCATCTTAGTCTTCATATTCATGTCATTGCCCCTCCTTAATTTGGAGAGTTTTCTGACTGCAAACTTTCCCAATTTAATACTTCTCTTGATCTCTTGACTGTTGATAGCAAAGGTATTGATGCTGCCCTAGAAGTGCTCACCATGTTTGGTGAAACTTGGGGGACAACTACCTGGTCAACTTACTGGAAGAGATCTATATTCATTCTCATTGGAATAAAAAGTGATATAACAGAGTGTGGAAATGAATAATATCACACACAATCAAAATTCTGCTGAAGATAATAAAAAAGTGTCTGGAACAGTACATGGACAGAGAGCTACTAGAAATATAAGCTGGGTTTAGAAGAGGCCTTGGTACTAGAAACAGTATTGCAAATGTCACATGAATCTTAGCTAAAAGCAAAGAAAACAAAAGAATATTTATCTATGTTAAATTGACTATGCAAAGGCATTTGACTGTGTGACATTTGACTATGTGGATTACAACAAATTATGGCTAACATTGAGAAGAATGGAAAATTCTAGAACATTTAATTGTGTTCATGTGAAAGCTCTATTGGACCAGAAGAAAACATGACATGGTTCAAAATTAAGAAAGGTATGTGTCAGGGATGTGTCCTATCTCCATGCATTTTCAATCTATAAGTGGAGAGATCATTTTGGAGGCTAGGTTTTATGATGAGAAATGCTGCATCTGGATTGGAGGAAGACTCATAAAAAACCTGTGATATGCACATGACAGAATCTTATTTGGTGTAACCAGAGAGGACTAAAATTGTTTCCTGCTGAAAGTCAAGGACTATAGTCTACAATATGTTCAAGTTCAGCATCACGAAGGCAAAGATTATTGCCACTGGGCAAACTGACACCACTATTAAAGATATAGAAGAGATTGACATTGTTAACATTTTCAGCTTTGCTAGGCTCCACAATCAACAATCTTAGCACCAACAGACAGGAATTCAAAAGACAGATTTCATTGGGAAAGTCTGCTGTCAGGGAACTCTCCAAAGTGCCAAAAAGTAATAATGTCAGTCTAGAGACAAAGGTGTGCTTGGTCCAGGCCATGGTCTTTACAATTATTTGCTATACATCAGAGATCTAGACAATGACGAAGGATGACAAAAGAATGCCTTTGAGTTGTGGTATTAGAAAAGTCTTGAACATACCATGAACCGCCAAGATAATAAAACAGTTCTGTCTTGGAGAGGATGAAACATAATTTCTCTTTGAAGGCAAGGATTTTGACGCTCTGTCTCACATACTTTGGATATGTGGCCAGGCAGGACTAGTCCTTGGAGAAGGACAACATGTTTAGAAGAGTGAAGGACAATACTGGAGGGGAAGACCCCAGATCAGATGGATTGATACAGTAACTGGGGTAATGAAAGTAGGTGTGGCAGAGTCAATGAGACTGGTTCAGAATAGAGCAGGGTTCAGAGCTATTGTATGTTAGATCACTGTGAGTTGCAGGTATCTCTATGGCACATAAAACAACAACAACAATCATGTTATTGTCTATTAGTTCAATGATGATAATTTTTGTATCCCTGATGTTGAGATATAATCTATACTGAAGGTTATCATCATTGTTCATCTATACCAAGCATTTCAAGTTCTCTTGGCTTTCAACAATATTGTCATTTGTGTAATACAGGCTGTTGATAAGTCTTCTTCCAATCCTGATATCACATTCTTCTTACACGAGAAAAGCTGTTCAAGTGATTTGCACAACATCCAGATTGAATGTGTGTGGAGAAAGCATGAGTGTGATACATACTTTTCCAAATTTTAAACTGTATTATGTTTCCTTGTTCTCTTTGGACAAGAGCATCTTTATCTTTATCGTGGAATATGTTTCACATGAGCCCAATTAAGTATTCTGGGATGTCCTTTTATCTCATGTTAGCTGTAGTTTGTTATGATCCATACAGTAAAATGCCTTTATATAATCAATGAAACACCAATAGCCATTCTTCTCATATTCTCTACTTTCAACCAGGATCTGACATCAGTAATGATATCTCCCTGGTGCCATGGCCTCTTCTAAACTCAAACTGGTGTTCTAATAGCGCTCTGTCTCTCTGTTCAGGGTAGCTGTTTCTGGATGTTCTTCAGCAGTAATTTGTTTGAATGTAATATTAAGATATTGTTCAATAATGCCCACTTTCTGTTGGATCTCTTTTATTGGGAAGAGGAATCAATACCAATCTCTTCTGGTCAGTTTTCCAAGCAAATCTACTCCAAACTCTTTTGCATAGATTAGTTAGCATATCTAGCATTGCATATGCTAGATGAAAAATGTAAATTAGTATCCAAGTGATTTCTGGGGCCTTAATTTTTGCCAATGGCCACAGTGCTGCTTGAACTTCTCACCTCATTGTCATTGAGTCTTGGTCTTATGGTTGTTGTTATGTGTCATCGAGTCACCTGCAATCATAGCTACTCTATGTACAACAGCTCTGAACCCTGCTCTATCTTGATCTAATTTTGTTGCCTCTGACACAATCCCATTACCCCAGTCACTAGTCAATCAATGTCATTTAGGGTCTTCCTCTCTCTCACTGTCCTTCCACTTTTCTGAACATGATGTCTTTTTCCAAGGATTGGTCCCTCCTGGCATCATGCCCATAGTGTGTCAGATGGAGTTTCAAAATTTTTGCCTCTAAGGAGCAGCCTGGTTTAACTCTCTACAAGACAGACCTTTCTGTCTGGTTGTATTCAATACTCTTCTCCAGCACCACAACTCAAAGGAACCAATTATTCTTCTGTCATACTTAATCATTGTCCAGATTTTTGATGCATTGCAAGTAATTTTGAAGACCGTGGCCTGGATTAGGCACACCGTAGTCTCCAGATTGACACTGTTGCTCTTCAGTACTCTGGAGAGTTCCCTGACAGTTGACTTTCCTAGTGTAATTCATCTTTTGATTTTCTGGTGCTGGTACCAAGAGTGTTGATTGTAGAGACAAACAAGCTGAAGCTGTTAACAATCTCCATCTCTTCACCACCTATCATGAAGCTGACAGTTGGCCCAGTGTTGAGAATCTTTGCTTTCTTGATGTTGAGTTTCAATCTGTATTGAAGGCTGTAATCCTTAACTTTCTGCAGCAAATGTCTCAGATCCTCCTAAGTGTTGGCAAGCAAGGTTTTGTCATCTGCCTAATTCAGTTTGATTAGTGTTCTTCCAATACTGATGCCAATGCCCAGAGACATAGAGGAGGAATTAGGATGATTTCTCCCTACTGTTGCAATTGGAAATCAAACATGCAACAAGGATGCATGAATAATAATGGGTGACTTGGTGACAGAAATGAGGCTGAAGACAGAATGATAAAATTCTGTATAATCAATGATTTATTCACTGAAAATACCTTTTAAAAGAAACACAAAAGGTGACTGTACATATGAACCTTATCTGATGGCCCACACAGGAATCAGATTGATTACATCTGTGGGAAAAATCATCAGAGAAGCTCAATATCAGCTGTGAAAACAAGAGCAAGTGCTGACATTGTATCAGATTATCAACTACTTGTATGCAAGTTCAAACTGAAGCTAAAGATAAGCAATTCCAATTCACAAGAATCAAAGTTTGACCTTGAGTCTAACCCTCTTGAATTCAAAGACCATCTCAGGAACAGGTTTTAGGCTTTGAATATTCATGAATGATGACTAGATGAGCTGTGGGAGAATATCAATAAAATCATCCATGAAGAATGCAAAGGCCATCATAAAAGAAGAAGAAAAGTGGATGTCAGAAGAGGCTCTGAATATTGTCCCAGAGCACCACATTTATTCTGCACATTCCATTGTAATACTATATTTTGTCTTGTCAAGATACAGTTTGAAATCTTCTGTTCAGCTCTTTACTTCAACATCTCTTCCCTTTTCTTAGTTATCCAATGCCCTAGTACAATTTCCAGTCTCTCTGACATCCATTTCAAGTTCTTCTTTTTCTTCTGTCTTTGAAATGGTATCTACTCTCTTCATGGATAATGTTCATGATGTCTTCCTTCATTATCTTCCTGCTAATTTATAATGTTAGCAAGTTTACCAAGTATTCTGATGGGGAGTTGCTTTCATGCTTACTAGGATATTTGTTGAGGTCCAACTTCTGTCATTCCTGGTAGAGAGGAGATGCTTTATTCATTATTTCTAGTCTTTAACTATTGTTTTGTGATTTAGATTTATTTTTTATTATTTTATAAATTTTTCATGTGAGTTTAAAAAAAATCATTTTAACATTGTAATTTGCTTTCCTGTATGTCAACTGTTTCCATGTATTTTGATCATTATTTTCTTTTCAGAATTCTATGAGAGATATGAGCTGATTGAGCAAATATAAAATAATTGCTGTTGTTGTTTTTAGGTACCACTGAATTAGAACCAACTGACAGCTGACCCTCTAATGAGTTTTCAGAGGTAGTAAATAGCATAGGAGTTGACTATCTCATGGAGCACCTGGTGGATTCAAACCATTTGCTTTTGAAAGAACAATACAGCTTATTGCCAGTAGGCCACCAGAGTTCTCTATAGAAGAATTAAGTAATTTAAATTCTGAAAGAGAAGGTACTAAGATTGGTATTCAAATCTTTGAACTCTTTCTTGATGTCTTTAAGTAGCTTCATAATTAGTGTTTTATGAAGATCCTGGAATCCAAGAGTAAGTGCAATGTTTGCAAAACTGGTTTGCATTTGTAGACCTCTCTGTGAGCTGTTTTCCTTTTCACCTTTTTGTCTGTCACTCCCCTCTTCCTGGTTTGTTCTCTTCTGGTCTTGGTTACAGATGCAAGTAAGCATGGACACTATAAGGTGCATTCCAATACATGTCCATAAATCACTTTCTTGGGGGGGGAAAGCAAAACAACATCTTTTTATCACTATGACTTGGATACCTTCAAAATGCTTGCAGTTAAATTAAGTAGATAAATAGGCAGGCGATTTTTGTACATTTTAGTAAGTGGCACAATTAACATTGATGTTGGAGTAATACCTCATGGCAACTTAAAATTTCTCCTTGTAAAATTGGAAAAAAATGCTTACAGAATGTCAAATCTTATCTAAGTATCAAGGATTGAGTGTATGAGCAGTAAGGATTTACAGGAGGTGTCCCAGATATTAAAATATTGATGTTAATTATATATTTGAAAAGCCAGGGGGTATAGACTAAGTTTCGCTGGATCTCTAAAAGGGTAAGAATTGATGTAGTTTAAGATCATCTATTGTTTCGAACAGTGATTTGATATTTAAGTGAAAAAAAAATGACACAAATATATTTTCCTTGGAATCTGCATTCAGTCCTTTTTAGATTTTTTTGAGCTGTTTCATTGTTTTATCTTCTGAAGCTCATACTGAATTTTTTTTTTGTAGGTTGGAAGCACAGTATTTTTCAGGTGCAGAAAAGGTTACCATATTCAAGGTTCAACAACTAGAACTTGCCTTGCAAATTTAACATGGAGTGGAATACAGACCGAATGTATACGTAAGTATGAGCTTTTCCACTGCTGTCAGCAAGAATCTACTTATTTTTGTAAAAAACAAAAACAAAAACAAAAACAACAAAAAAAACCCAACCCATAGATCTTCACCACTGGGCCAATTCGTAACACCATGATAGATGGGAAGAGATTGAAATTGTTAAGAATTTCATCTTGCTCGGCTCTACAATGGAGGCTGTTTTATAGGATTGGAGGCAAGGATTTTGAAGCTCTGTCTCACATACTTTGGGGACCAATATGATCTGGTCCCTACTTGTTACCAGGGCTATTGTACATAGGATTGCTCTGAGTTGCAGGTGACTTGACAGCACAAAACAACAACATTTTTATAGTATGCATTTTATATGATGAACAAATAGTTATGTAATGGTCAACTTCACTGAATAATGCAATCAGAGGAGTTAAATATAGGGTCTGCCCTTATTTTATCCTCTATCAATTTAGTGCAACATAATATTTTATTAATGTCTTGTTCTTACTGTGTTAAACACAAGAAAGTAGATGCTTATAAAACTCAATTTTAAAATTTGTCTGAAGTGAATCTGTAGATTTACTTCAAAGCTATATTATCAACCCTAATCTCTATTCAAATCACATAGGTGGATATACAGATAGATAGATATAGATACAGATACAGGTACAGGTACAGATAGAGGTACAGGTATAGGTATAGAGATAGAGATTATAGAGATAGAGATAGATATAATATTGTGATTGCATTGTATGTTGGACTGTTGATCAAAAATGTGACAATTTCTGTGAATTTTCTCAGGAAATATTTTATGTCATTAAATATATAGACTAGTCTCATAAGAAAGCAAATGCTAGTGTTTCCTGATGGAATGAATATCATTTCAGCTCATGCTTGCAGACAGCCAGAAACCCCAGCCCATGCGGATGTGAGAGCAATAGATCTTCCTACTTTTGGTTACACCTTAGTGTACACTTGTCATCCAGGATTTTTCCTTGCGGGTGGATCTGAACACAGGACGTGCAAAGCAGATATGAAATGGACAGGGAAATCACCTGTTTGTAAAAGTAAGTAACTTATTAGGGAATAAAAATAATTTCTTGACAGCAAAACAAGAATGTCACATGCCAACCAGGCTAGTTTCCTTGATTAATCCTTCTGCCTAGGGCCAAATGTAATGCTTGTGGACCTGTGTTTGTGTGTGGTGTTTGTGTAGCAAACGTTTGCTACAACAGGGGCAGAGACTATGCAGGCTTTTAATCTTGAATGAATTTTAGCAAAAGAAAAAAGCTATTTTGTTGACAAAAAAAATCTTTTGAGTCAAGGGAAAGCAATATACAATGTATTTTCTGGAAAAATGTATTTCTTAAAATGAAGGTGAATAAACACCACCAAATAGAAGAATATAATTTCAACCTCCTGTGCTATTTTTAAGACCACTCAAGTTGTTTGTTGTTGGAATTTATGAGTTCTTGACATCAGTTCTGCTTTAAAAAAACCTCAAAAGTAATTAGCATGAAATCCTGCATTGATTACTAACAAATTGGTGTGTTTAATAATTAGAATAATAATTTTAGGTCAACTTTGACAGCAGCTCAGCTAAACTTTTAGAATTCCACCAAACCTAAGATTATGTGTGCACTGATACTAAATAACATTAACAAAACTTACTAAAGTTAATAAAATCAACAACTTTGGTTTTCATTTCCTGAATCCTGGATTTGTAGCATTCAAGTTGGGGATTTTTAAGAAACTTTAGTTTCTCCTGTACTTCCTTTTCAGAAACAGGCAAATATAATTTTTTAAAATAAAAAGTATTTTGTATATTTTCAAAATTAAATCCAATCTGATAGAGCAAATTAAACACTGTGCAAGGGGAATAAATGATGTTCCTTAATATTAGCTTATATATTTGATTTAGATAGAGATTTGGAAAATTAAGAGCTATTATAAAATGTTAGTTATTTTCTATATTACCTTTCAGTATAGGTCAGTATACTTTTAATAGGATGGAAGAAAATTGATATAAGCCACCCTCATTTACAAGGCTCTCTGTTGTAGCACTCTAAATGGGAATCTTCAAGTTAGATTTTCATTTATTTTTTCCATTAAATTCTATTTTTCCACAAGCACTAATGACAGTCTGCTGTAACTCTATGGGTTTCAAATGTGTGTGGGTACAATATTAATTATTTTTGTGCAATTAGAAAATCTGGAGAAAGGAAAATTGCTTCAATTTAACAATTTTTCAACATTAAAAATAAATGTTTTTGAAAATGATAATTTGTCTTTTTACTTGTAGGTAAAGGAGTGAGAGAAGTTAATGAAACAGTTACTAAAACTCCAGGTTTGTATACCAGAACAGTTATAGATTTAAATAAAATACAGTGATTTGTTCTCTCTATCTCTACACAGTGTAGCAATTTTTAATATTTTTTAATTTCTAATTCTATAATCCCATGAAAAAGTTGATGTTTCAATTATTGAAAACACTAAGATAATCCAAATATCTATTTATTTTAAAACAATGATTTTTATTGATATTGTAATGCTTTATAAGACAATCTTTGTCATTATCGGACAATTTCTTTATAAGGTGCCTTGGACATTTTGTAGACAGAAATGGACATAAAATATTAATTACACAATGTGACATAATGGAGAGCCTTATAAAGAGGGTTGCAATTCCTTCCTCCTAATGAGGAAGCTAAAGTAAATAAGACAAGATAAGGGGTAGATTGTGACAGCATAAATTGCTAAATTGACTGATTTAACTGCAGAGTCCCATTTTTCCCTCAAGTTTTAAAATAGTTCAGATATTTTCTGTCTCCTAAAATGTTAATAATAATTTATTGCTTTTTTTAATGTATGTGGTACCTTGCTTGAATGCATTTATATAGCAAAACAGAAATGTGAAGTCCTGCTTTCTAAGAAAGGCTTTCATTACACTAAATTATATGAGAAAGTTTATTTATATTATAAATATATGAAAATTACTTAAATAAGAAAATTATTTCCAAAGGTTAATAATTTTAATTAAACTTTAAATCTGTAAGTCGGTAAACTTTGTAAATATTGGTAACTTTACTGGTATTCTCCTTATATTTTAATATTGGGTTTTTGGATACAAACTCTAACTCTGATAAACTCTGTTCTAACAGCAAGTGTGGGAAAATATCTTTAGTGTTGTTATGCTAGAATGCTATTTTATATATCCAATTCTTAGAAGACAAAACTCTCAACATAGAGGAATATCTCAAGTGTGTAAAAGTATATAAGAAATAGAAGAAAGTAGAAAGAATAAAATGAACCATCCTTTCATTAGTTGTGTGGATCATTAAGAAAGAAAGTACTTACAAACAAAAATGCAAGAGTCAATATTCTTTTTCTAGTTAATACTTTCCTCAATGTAAAAAATCATAATCTTTATTGTTGCTAAGTGTTTGGCTATTTTTTTGGTTAATGATAATGAAGTATCTGAATATTACATTTGAAGGTACAGACATTATCATGAATAACTTTGTTAGTCTTTCTGCATAAAGTGCTAATTTAAGATGATTCTTTATCAAAGTGGTACAGTTGAACACACCTAAAATATTTGGCTTGTTGCATTACTCTCGTAGCTTCTAGCAGCAAGTAGGGAGACAGAGAACATGATAGTATGATTTGTATTTTGTTTCTATTGAGTATATTTTAATACTAGCACGCATTTTCAATATAATATCTTAAGAAGTTTGGGTGGCTTAGTAGTAAGGAGTTTGCTGTCAACTCAAAGGAAGGTGGAGTTCAAATCTACCAAGTGCTGCTCTCTGAGAGAAAGATGAGTACTATCCTCTTGGGTAATTACTGCTACTGAATACCTGGTAGAGGGACAGCTAGGAGCATTTTCTGACTCAACATTATATAACAAAAACTAATTTTCCATTCCAGTGATACAAGTAATTATTATTTCTAAAGTGCCAAACAGTGCTGTTGAATTCATAGAATACACATAAGAAAAACTATGTTGATGTTATCTTTAAAGTTTACTAGTTCTTTTCAGGGTTGCTATGAATCCCCGTGGTTAAGGAGTTGTACTGCCAATTTAGAGGCATTTGGTGCGAATCTGCAAGCTGCTCCATAGAAGAAATGTGAGCATCTCTTCCTGTGCTATTTGAAAAACAGCCCTTGAAAAATCTTTTGTAGGGTCAGTTGTGGGTAGATTCTAACTTGACAGCACATAATAGCAGCAAAAACAGATGAAAACCAAGGACTCTATAATGCTTTATTATAGTTTTTGTTGTGGACTATGGAGTAGGAACTGACCCATATCTTACCCTCCAACAAGTTTTCATATGCAGTTCATCACATGGGAAGAGATCCTTTCTCCCACAGAGCGGCTGGTGAGATTCGAACCACATTGCAGCACAGCTTTATGTCACTAGGCCACCAGAGTTTGCATGCTAGTGGGTAGAATTATTTAATATCCTTTACAAATACCTTAGATACCTATACGATGTTTCAATTTTTAACATGCTTGCTTACGTTTTAGTATTATTAAGAAGTATTTGTAAAGCCATAGGAAACTTTTGTTCAGCTTTTCCCTTTCTGTTACAAAACTTAAGATCTGTAGGTTGTGAGAAACATGAAAATAGACTTTTGTCCTCATTATCTGTGGCTGTAAAGAAATCTATGAAAAAATATATATAATGTTTTTTATCTCTATCTAGTAAAAGAGACAATGTGTTTAAACTAAGACTACTTACAGTAGATTTTTCAAATAAAAAAATAATTCAGGAAAATTGTGAGGAGTAAATAAAAGCTTAGTAGACAAATTCATTTATATTTACATATTTTAATGATGTTCATTTTAATAGTAGAATAAACTGCTAGTATTTTAATATATATTTGACAGAAGAAATGTGAGAAAATGGTCATTATTTCACAATCATATCAGTGAATTTAAGGGGAAAGTTCTGAATATTTTTTGCTAAGATATTTATACAGATAAACTTTATGTTTTTTAAAAAGATGCCTTTTATTTATGAATTTAAAAGTCAGAAAAAAGAGACTTTGAAATCATTGAATCCATCCTTCTTAGTAACACTTGAGTGAGTTTTTATAAGGAGATTATTATAAAGAATTGAAGGATATGAAAAAAAAAGATAGGCTTAACTTATGAAGTAAAATCTTTAAGAAATAGAATCTTTTATGTAAAGACATACCTCAGGGTTATTGTGGGTTTGATTTACATCAATACAAGAAAGCAAATATAATAAGACAAAACATATGACTTTTTTTATTTCCTAGTGTACATAAAAATTATAGTTCCATTACTGTTGTGTATCAATATCTAATTACATTATGAAAAAGTTTGAAATACTGTGAGAGTTAACAAAATATAGTATAGATACCGAAAGTAAACACACCCTGTTGGAAAAATGGAAGTTAGAGATTTCCTCAACGCACACTTCCCAGAAATTTTCAATTTTAAAAACAAAACATAGTATCTGTAAAGGACTATAAAGAAAAGTACAGTAAAATGTACTTTATCACATTTTTATTACATGTGTATATAAACAGAGTGTATTTCATCAACATGTTGTTTCATAATGCCAGCTCCTTAAGGATAGATAATGAAATTTAGTATCTTTTAGCATCCTAAGTTTTTTGAAGACTAGACTTGGGTGCTAGTGAAATACCAGATGAAATCCAAATTAAAAAAATTATTATGCTAATATTTTTTTTCTTACTTGCAGTTCCTTCAGATGTATTTTTCATCAATTCCGTGTGGAAGGGATATTATGAATATTTAGGGAAAAGGCAACCTGCAACTTTAACTGTTGACTGGTTCAATGCAACAAGTAGTAAAGTGAATGCGACCTTCATTGAAGGCTCTCAGGTGGAGCTGAAGTTGACAGGTAGGCCCTGAAGTGTTGTGCTTAAATGCATAATGTAAGCATGAGTAAAACCCATTATTCTATCACAAGGAAATGACCTAACATTTATTAAATACTGATTTTGAGTACTTATATTGAGTTGTCTCTGCATATTTCATCCAATCCTTTCAATGACCTTGACAGGCAGTATATTCTCATTTTAAATATTAGGAAACCAGTTCAGAATGTAAATTAGGTTGCTTAAGATTATGCACATAGCATGTTAAGTCAAAAAATCTGAAATTCATATCCAACCATGTGTTCAAAATCCATTCTTTTAAAAAATTCTTCTTTCTTTACTGTGGTCTTGCACAGTTTATATGTCTACTTTTTGTTATTCAATATTTATTCATTTGTCAGAAATTCTTTTTGTATTTTGGAAATACCATAATTTTCTTTCTAGTATCAATTACACACTGCATATATTCATTTATATCATATTACTAATATCTTTTAACTCATAAAAAAAATTGTTACCGTGAAAGTGATTCAAATCCCTGGTCCCTATGTGGTGCAAATAATTTATATTCAGCAGTTGACCAAAAGTTAAAGGGTTAAACTCAGCCAGAAAGTATTCAGAAAAAGAACTTACAATCAGATTTTATAAAGATTGTAGCAAAGAAAACTATGGAGTAATTTTATTCAGTAACATGTGCATTTACTATGATAGAAATCAGAACAAAAAAACCAAAAATCTCTCAAAGACTAAAACGCTCATAAAGTGACATGGTGGATAATTGACAGAGGGAACTCTAATAGCCTAGTGGTTAAAGAATAAAGCTTCCAACCCAAAAGCAAATGGTTCAAATCCACCAATTTCTCTAAGGGTGAAAGGATGATTTCTTCTGGTGTGGTTTACAGCCTCTGAAAACCTGCTGGACCTTGATTATGTGTGTTTTTTTCCAACTCAACAGTATATAACAATGACAACAAAGTATTCAGTAGTCAGAATGTTGAGCCCATTTTCTGAATAAATAAAGCACAATGTCTCCTTCATGACGTTTCCTCTTCTCTAGACTAATTTGTAAAAGCTGTAAAATCTTGTTAAATTATATACAAGGTCAATCCTAGCTCTGAACAAAAAACCCCGGATTGGTGTTCACTGTGCTACTAATCAGTAGAAGCTGAATAATTTTTAGAAAGTTTGAAAGGAAGTCAAAGTCATCTCCTCTCCCCCATTCACCTTTTCACCTTTCCTATCCTCTGTACATGAAAACAACAAAGAGTAATATATAGAGCCTTGAACAAAATCTACTCATTTTCATATATGGTAAAAATATGTAATTTTATGGAGTTATAGGAGCTCTGATGGCCAAGTGACAAAAAGCTGCACTGCAATCCCAAAGGCACGCAGTTCAAGGCCATCAGCTCCTCCTCAGGAGAAAGGTGGGCAACCACCTCCCATAGATTAACTGCCTCTGAAAATCCACTGGAGGGTCAGCTGTGGGTCAATTCTGACTTGAAGGTATACAACAACAACTAAACCATGGTCTAGTAAGTGGTATTCATATTACCTTGTAATGTGAACATATAACTCATACAACAGATTCTTAAATATGACCATGTGCCACAAAACTAAAACATTTTAAAAATATTTAAACATAAATCTCATGCAAGTGGATTGGATAACAATTCTCTACATGGGACAAATAAATCTTATTTTCCTTTTCCAAAGAAAATGTCCCTAGAATATTTAAATTCAGTTCATCCTATATTTTAGTGTTGGAAAAATTGCTAGTATATGTCTATGTGAACAGGATAAAAGGTACTAGCAGTTAAGGAGAACCAACTAAAAGACTAATAATCTTTTGAATGCCATAATTTAAGTCCTCATAAGAAGGACATAAAAACACTTTGCCATCTCTATTTGGTATAACTGGAGCTACAAGATGCAAATGTTAGTCATTTGTAGTGGTGGAAATAGGCACAAGGTCAGACTAAAACTTTGAGTCCGTATTAATCACTTAATGTGTAGTGATAATTTACTTCAAACCTCATTCTTTGCAACTAAAGAATATTTGTGAAATTCTAGTGGCATAATCTATAGGGAATTATGGTGCTAACCCAAAGGCCACACTTCTCTCTGGTGGTTAGAATTCACCAGTGGTTCCGCATAAGAAAAATGGACAATTTCCTGTGCAATTACAGCTAGGAAAGTTACAGAGAGTGAGTTATATGTCAGTTCTGACACCATAGTGATGAATGATTATGATGAATTAGTGGGAATTGTGCTTGTACTCAGCTGCTAACCTAAAAGATTTAAGTTCAAACCCCTCCACAGGTAACATAAAATAAATTTATAGCCATTACATTTATAGCCACTAAAAAATTATGGGGTAATTCTTATCTGTAACACATGGACTAATTGGCATCTACTCAACAGTAATCAATAGCAGCATCTACCAAAATGTTTGAGTTTATTACTTTTATTTATTATCCATTTTTTTACCTTCTTTGTGTAAGAACTAATTGTAGTTATAAACATATATCCTTTTACATCTCTATATAAAACTAATAAACAGTCTTTTTTTAGTAATAAAAAATAACAGATCACTGTGAGTTCTATGACTAATAACCACCTGAAAAAATCCTATGGGCTACACTAGAATATCTTAATATTTTATTCCCTATGTTGGTTATTTCATACTTAAACATCATTAAAAAGTGCTATGTTTTAAAATATAACCTGATAACTTTTCTATTTGTTCTTCACTTAAAGTGAATAAAAATGCAAGGGATTTTTATTGTTGTTGTAATCATCATTTTTAAAATAGCAGAGTGGGATAGATAGTACTATTACACTTCCTATGATATGACGATGGAAATTTTCTTTAGTGAGTAATAATTTTATCCAGTCAGAAAAAGAAAAATACCTTTGTGAAAAGCAGTTGTGAGAGGAAAGAGAAATGAAAGCTAATGTTTTATTTTAAAAAATGAGGTTCTGCTGTTAAACATCTTTATGTTACATCTATTCTATATTCCAAATTAAATCAGTTTAGTGTTATTATTAACTCTTGTGATTTTCTACAGTATAAGAATAACTGATGGACTTTTTTTGCAGGTGTTTACAAGAAAGAGGAAGCCCATTTACTCTTGAAAGCTTTTCAAATTAAAGTTCCAGTAGATATTTTTGTTAACAAGTTTGAAAATGACAATTGGGGACTAGATGGTTATGTGAGTATTTGTGTTAAATTGATGACAAAGCATGCATTTTCTAAGTATTACATTGCTTTGGTGAAGTCAGATGACTGAAAGTGTATAAGAAAAAACTAAGCAATCCCACTTAACAGCATGAATATTCTGTCCCTCTATTTCAGATAACAAGTCTTAGAAAAGAAGACTAAATTGTCTAGTAAGATTTTAGTTTCTTATGCTGATTCTAGTATCAGAACATAAGTTCTGTTCTGTGCTAGATAATACAACATCCTCTGTTGTAAGAGTAGTGTAAGATGCTTTTCAAAACCCTTGAAAAACAAGAACTACCTGGAAAACTTTAAAATACCATCCCCAGATAAACAGAAAGATTTAGGATCTTCATTCATGTATTTCTTTGCAAGTTAGTAGTTTTTCTAGGTTCTAACTTATTCTTTTTTGTAAACATATAATCACAAATGGTATATATCTAAACAATAGTTGTAACCCAAAATTAGTGTTGCAGCATGTATTTTGCTAATAAATTTATATGTGAGTCCCTTTAGGAAGACTAAATAGCGTACAGATTGTGTTGCTACATTACTACCATTTCAGAAATCAAAATGAACAGTTTTGTTTCCTGAGTTCAATTCTATGAGGTTTTCCAACTTTTAATTCTATATGCCTTTTTAAAAGTGGCACAATTTGATATAGTTAAACTTTTGTATCTAAACATGAGTAATGTTTTAATAAGTAGAGATTATTCTTGATCATTTTATACATGTTTTCTTTAATTTTCATACATTTCAGGTATCATCAGGACTTGAGAGAGGAGGATTTACTTTTCAGGGTGATATACATGGAAAAGACTTTGGAAAATTCAAACTAGAAAGACAAGGTGAACTGGACTAAAATTATTTCTTAATTTAGTACCAATTTAGCTGTCTAAAGATTCTATTTGGAACTAATGGATAGTTCATCTAACCAAGAGCAATCTAAGCAAAAATAATAGGCTTGACTAACATATTTTCTCTGTGTTATGAGCAAGATTATTGTCTAACTATGTCTTTAGGTCTTTATGTGGACTTAAGTGGGCAAAAGCAGGCAAAAATTCAGTTTTACTTTAATTCTTGAAAACGAACAAAGTCTTTTTATTGATTTGAAAGCTACACACAGTAAATTAAGATGGTTGTGATTACAACTTAGTGTAATCCACAGTTAGGGCAAATTCACATAGCACTAAAAATAAAGCTAGAGTTTTCTGAAATTAGATATTTTGAACCATGAAGCTTTATACTAAAGCAAAAGAAAAATAACCTTTTAAAATAAAAAGAGGCAAATTCAAAACTAATTAAAAGTCATAACACATATTCTATACTTAAAATTATTCTTAACACATTAAGGAATATTAAAAAGAAAATCAAATATGAAAATAATATATTAAAAATGATCAAACCATATTACCTTCAGCAAAGTATAAATAAGAAAATTAAAAAATGGGCAAAAACTAAAGTAAAAACTTCAATTTCAAAACTATCTATACTGATATAATGAATATTTTGCTAAAAGAATCTTAATTTTCAGTGATGGTGTAGACTTGGAACTCAGATGTTACATTTTGGTGAATTCATGTGTAGATATATACAATTAAAGAAATCTAACCTTATTTTAAGTATGAATACTTTCATCAAGTATTCACAAATCACAATTTTTCTTTATACTTTTGTGAAGTCTTTGCACATTTATGCCCACTTCTTTTAGAAGTGTAATTAAAAATAACTTACTAAAGTTAAACCTCTGTCATAAGAACTTGCTTCAACAATTTTGTTCAATATTTTACATTAAATTGTTGTTGTTGTTGTTGTTGTGTACCATTGAGCTGGAACCAACCCACAGCTGACCCTTTGGAGGGTTTTCAGAAGCAGTTAATCATAAGGGAGGAGATTGCAGCTGGTGGAGTCAAACTATGTGCCTTTGGGATTACAGACAGCACAGTTTCTTTTCACTAAGTCACCAGTGGTCTCTAAATTAAATTAGGAATTTTATTATATGGTATGTTTTGCTAAAGAAATTAGGGCTATGCATTCACAGGAAAGATATTAAACTTATGATGAAAAAAATTGCAATAAGTAGTGATAAGCTTTTCTCTTTGTATATTTCTCTATTGTTTAATTTTTGTCTGGTCGCTTGTTAGTTTTGAAGTTTTGACTAAATTATGTTATTCTTCAGATCATTTTTCCTTTTGCAAACTCAATAAAAAATTCAGTTCTCAAGGCTGTTAGGAAAATTAAGAGACAATACAAGTGATTGATTTGTGCATGTTAAAGATCATTTCACATGAAAGTTTTTAATACAGTTGTTGCTGCCTACACAGATTAGACAAATGCCCTTTGTCAGTGAGATAAGCCCTACATTTCTTCTGAATAATACAAACTACTTTTTAATTTACTTAAGGAAACTATTAACATTTAATTTTTTTAAATTTATTATCAATTTCAGTAAAAAATTACAGAGACTTTGGATTTCCATTCATTCATTGATGTACTTTTTCCCCTCCCAACTCCCCCCCCCAGTACACTACCCTCTTGTAAAAGTAAAATAAAAATTCTTTCATTGTTTTACAAAACCTCCCCCAGTTGCACTCCACCATGTAGCCTTCGCTCTAAACACCTGTCATGAAAAAAAAACCAACCAAAAATCACTAATTACATATCCCTTTTAAACTGTTTTCTCCCTCATCTGTTTCAATCAGTATACATTATTGAACCCATCTTTCTCAGTCTCCCCACAAACCTCGATGTCAGTCCTGTTTTACAACCGTGGCACCATACAGTATTAGTCCTTTTGTGATTGAGATACTTCACTCTGCATAATGTCCTCCAGGGTCACCCATTTTGAATAATATTGCATGAGTTCCTTGATTTTCAATGCAGTGTAGTATTCCATTGTGTGACTATACAACAGCTTCTCTATCCATTCATTTGTTGATGGGCACTTAGGTTGTTTCCAACTCCTTGCTATTGCGAACGAAGCCATGATAAACAAGGGTGTGCATATATCTGCTTGGATGTCAGTTATGGTCCCTTCGGGGTATATTCCAGTAGTGGAATTGCTGGGTCAAATGGTATCTCTATTTGCAACTTTTTGAGAGAGCACTGTACCGCTTTCCACAGGGTTTGCACCATTTTACACTCCCACCAACAATGAATAAGGGCTCCAGTTTCTCCACAACCTCGCCAGCATTTGTTGCTTGGTGTTCTGTTAAATTTTGCTATTCTGACTGGGGTGAGATGATATCTCATAGTTGTTTTAATTTGCATCTCTCTTCGAGCTGGGGATTTTGAACATTTCTTCATGTGCTTGTTGGCCATCTGAATGTCTTCTTTGGTGAAGTGTCTTTTCATATCCTGTGCCCATTTTTCTACTGGATTATTTACCTGTATCATGTTGTGGTGCTCAAGTATTTTAGAAATTCTAGATATAAGTCCCTTATCTTTTATATCATTGCCAAATACTTTTTCCCAGTCTGTGGCTTCCCTTTCTACTCTGTTGGAGAATTTTTTGGATGTGTCTAGGGATTTGATTCTTAGAAGATCCCATTCATCTATTTTATTTTCTCCTTTGTAGGTAACATTATTTTTATAAATAAAATATTACTCTCTCTGATTTTATATCAAAGTGAACTTTCAAAGAAAAATGTGTATTATAGTTTCTGGTTACTGTCACTGCTAAACTGTTATTATAAGATTTTTATCAATATACTGAGTATTTGAAAGGAAATGTATGCCAAATTATGTTTTTTCTAAAATTCTACATATAAAATGATAATCATAAAATACTCTCATTCAACCATTACAAATTTAGTACTTTTTAAAAAAGCTTTAGATTATTATGCCAGCAATGACATGATTTAATATTTTAAATTGGGTTTACTTTTTAAAGTAATAAAATATAATTAATGCATGTTCCCAACACCAATGATGAGTTCAGTTTTCTCTTGCTGTAAGCCAAACCCTGCAGTTATCTGTCCTCCTTTCTCCTCAGTGTACATGCTCCAGTAATTTTGTTTGAGGATACCCCAGTGAGCTGTACAGGAAACTGTCTAGATATCTACCTTTTCTCATCCCTGACCTGAACTATTAATTTTCTGACAAAGATGTATTTTCCTCATTATCCCATATCATTCAATTGTAAGAGAATAACAGCTTTGTTTCTCAAGTAATGCATATCCTCCTGTGATGGTGAGCTTATTGTCAGAAAAAAAAATTGACTCACAAAATAATTTTAATTCTATGTCTTACTAGACGAGTCTAATTAGACAAGTCTATATCTAAGTAATGTGGAAGAAGGATGGATAATCTCCTCCCATGTGACTATCTCTGAAACTTGCTGAAAGGTTAGCTATGGGTTGCTTCCAACTCAACAGCTTACAACCACAACAATGTTTAAGTAATATGTCACCAGTGGTCCTTTCAGAATTATGATTGAAACCTAGTTTTATGGAAGAGAGTAAATAACCTTCTAATTGTCTATTATCCCTGAGAAAATGGAGAAAAGTGATTCTCATTGAGTGTTAAAATCAAGTGAATAATTTTTTGAAAGTTAACTTTAAAGCAAAGTCTTGTGTAAGAATCATATTTTGTTCTTAAAATCTATCTCATACAAGATGAGAGAAGATGGTCAATCTCAAATATCATAAACAACATGTAAATCTCAACAACAAAAATACACCTTCTCAGTCTGGTGTTACCTCTTATAAAAAAGGTCAATATGACAAGTGTTGGGAATGTGGATAAATTTGAACCTTCATTGATTTGTGATGCTGTTGTTGTTGTTATGTGCCGTCGAGTCGCTTGTGACTCAAAGCAACCCTATGTACAACAGCCCTAAACTCTGCTCTGTCCTGTGCCAATCGCACTGTCTCTGACATTCCCATCCCAATTATCCCAGTCACTGAATCAGTCCACCCCATAGAGGGCCTTACTCTCCTGCACTGTCCCTCCACAGTCCCCAGCATGATGTCCCTCTCCAAGGACCGGTCTCTCCTCACAACATGTCCAAAGTATGTTAGACGGAGTCTCAGAATCCTTGCCTCCAAGGAGCCACCTGGTTTAACCCTTTCCAGGACAAATATGTTTTCCTAGCAGTCCATGGTATTGTCAATACTCTTCTCCAGCACCACAGTTCAAAGGCATCAATTCTCCTTCTATCATCCTTGGTCATTTTCCAACTCTCTGATGCATAACAAGTGATTGCGAAGACCATGGCCTGTATCAGATGCACCTTAGTCCCCAGAGAGACACCATTGCTCTTCAGCACTTTGGAGAGGTCCCTAACAGCAGACTTTCCCATGGCAATGCGCCTTTTAATTTCCTGGCTGCTGGTGCCAAGACTGTTGACTACAGAGCCAAGCAAACTAAAGCTGTGTACAGTCTCAATCTCTTCACCATCCATCCTGATGCTGCCAATTGGTCCAGTGGTGAGAATCTTTGTCTTCTTGACATTGAGCCTCAATCCATATTGTAGGCTGCAGTCCTTGACACTCTGCAGCAGGCGCTTCAGGTCCTCTTCAGTTTCAGCAAGCAGGGTTTGTGTCATCCACATAATGAAGGTTGTTGATAAATTGTCCACCAATCTTGACCACACATTTCTCCTCATAGAGCCTAGCCTCCCGGATAATCTGTCCTGCATATAGGTTAAAAAGGTATGGAGATAGGATGCATCCCTGGTGTACGCCCTTCCCAATTTTGAACCATGCAGTGTTCCCTTGCTCTGTTCTGATCACTGCCTCCTGGTCCAAGTATAAGTTTTGCATTAGAACGATCAAGTGTTCTGGGATTCCCATTCTTCTCAGAGTCAGCCATAGTTTGTTATGATCTACACAGTCAAATGCCTTTG